CAGTATATTTTCTGAGAGGAAAATGAAATTAAATCTGAAATGCTGAGATATGAAATAACGCAAAAAGAGTCAACATTTTTTGAAAATATTTTTACTGCGTGTTAGGAAAATTAGAAAATAATCATTTTAACATTTGGTAAAAATGTCAAGTGTCTATGGTTAAATAATTAAGGGTTTTTAAATTACAAAAAAAATAAAATCGACTTTTTTAAAACTTAGTTTTGCGTCAAAAATCAAAATTACAACTATATTTTTTATTTGTTTTTCTGGACACTTTCTAAAATAACTTTGGAATTCAATTTTTACCTTCTAAAAGTACCAACAAAAGAAAAATTCACATTTCTATCAGAAAAGATGCCGATCTCGAAAATCGGAGAATTTTTACTACTCAATATGTTGCTGACAGACTGAAAAAAAAAACACAGATTATCATTGTACAACCAATAGGTATTACTGTATTAGGTACATTCTTTCGCTCCGCTCTGAATTTAAAAATAAGCAAATCAAATAATAAAATAACAAATAACAATAAAAATAATAAAATCAGTTTAAAGAGTAAATTAAAACATTGAGTAATAATAATAAATTTAATAAAAACTTAGAAAATATCAAACAAAATATAATAGTCAATCTGTCCTAAGTATAATCGACCTTTATGCCAAATTAGTAATTACACATCTACGAAATATTGTAATGGACTAATCATTATTATACATTATTTATTTATTTATTTATTTTTATTAATTAACCCGTGGCAATTTAGGTCATTAGGTGGTTTTTAACTGTGGGGGAGGGTATTGTAAGTTTTTGAAAGCAAGTGTGTTTTAGTTTGGCAGAAATTCAAATTGGGCACCTGTAGGTTTCTGCCATGCCCAGTCTTGGGATGGCGGCCTATCTCTTCATATAGATGTCTGCCTGGAGAGAAGTGCCACTCTTGACCGAGATTCGAACCGGCGACGGTTGGCGTCGCAACGGACTCCTTAGTCCTCTCGGCTACTCCGTCCCACCGTCCCACTAATGAATACATTATTAAATATTTATAAATTAAAACTGAAGACCAATACATAAATTACTGATTAGCATTTACTTATGTCTTATATATGTTACGGTCAAAAGCCGAAATCGGGCAAACCTCAGAAATGCCCGGGCAAACCTAGTTATGACCAACCTCAATTGGGCAAAACCGTATACTGACTTTTATCGTAATGGCAAAACCGTAGTGTCAATAGTACAATTATACAAATATAATTGAATAAACTTAATTAATACATTTAAACCTCACTTGAGCCAAACTGTAGCGTTTATAATAACCACATACAAAAAAAAATAATAATCATAAAATATTGTACAGATATAATTGAATACACTTAAATAATAATAAAAATATAATGATATTAAGTACTAGTATAAAAATAAACATATAATAATATTAGGTACTCTTATAATGTTAAAATAAATAATTAATAAAAAATATTGTACAGATATAATTGAATATAATAATAAAAAATAATATTTTTGTTGCTACATATATTAGAACCATGGCATTTAGAACTACACAAAATATTTTGTTGTTTACATTTGCATCGTCTCGTAGTGCACTTAGTTTTGCAAGAACAAAAAATAAACCCTTGTCCTCCAGTTAATGAATTTTGAGTACTAGCAGTCCTCAGTGGTATTTCGATATTCGGTACATCATTGCTACTAATAAATTGTTCCTTGCATTGAAATATTTGGTTTTTGGCATAAAGTGATGACAAAATTCCATTTTTGGTTAATATTTTATAGAATCCTTTAATATTATAGGTAACGAGTTGATAAAATACTATAACAACGATAAATTAGCAAGATACGTGGGGTCATTTATAATCGTAATAAATTCGTACGACAAAAATCACTATTTCTATTTAATATTAGAGAACTTATATAAGACACTACGGTTTTGCCATTACGATAATAGTCAGTAAACGGTTTTGCCCAAATGAGGTTGGTCATAACTAGGTTTGCCCGGTCAAAAGCCGAAATATGACATTTTGCCCAAGGATTGTGGGCAGTTCGCGTTTTGCCCGGGCATTTCTGAGGTTTGCCCAATTTCGGCTTTTGACCGTAACTTATACATTGCCTAGTGCCAATAACAAGATTACCACAAGGATTTAAATATAACACATTACAGAAAATATTTTTATTATTTTGATAAAATAACAAACCCGTTCCCTAAGCTTATAAAATATGACAGGAACAAGAAATATAGCAAGCTAAACATGAATAATCCATTAAAAAAAAAAAAACACTTTGATTTCTAAACCTTATAAAATGTAGGTACCTATATATTTTATTGGCGACAAACAAGTAAGTATACTTATCCCACTTCCTGTAGATGCGTCCGTCACAAGTTTAGAGCTTACCTCGAACTATATACCGGCCGATTTTAACAATATTTTATATCCTATAGTATGAGAATCCAAACATTTTTAGAGGATAATAGCAAAGAATGTTTAGGTATGTATTGATTTTACAATGATTTGTCATGTGTGTATTATTTTTTTTTGTCTCAAAACGATTTTTGTAGTAGAAAAAATACTCCGATCAAATAATCTGATATAATTTTTTCTCAGGGTAATAAAGCCGTGGAGGTCTTAAAAAACTTCAATGTAATTATTTGAATATCAGGTGTGTATTTTGTTATACTCTTATGTCTTGATTGTTTTAATGAAAGACAAGCAGCAATTGAAGGGCAAAAATCCAAAACGTGGTATTGCCAAAATTTCGAAAATCGAGTTAAACAGCGATTTTTATGGAAAAAAATGTGAGGAATTCGATTTTGCAGTCAGAATTAAATTATATCCATTACTTTTGTGAATAAAATCGATTTTAAAACTGATGTTCAATGCATAACTTGATATTGCCACATTTAATGTCAATGCAAAACGTGATGTTCAATCATGTTCAAGTCAGAACGTATTATTGCCCATGTTATACCTATGTATTGGGTACGAATAAAGTCTAAAGATATCTTTAATCGTGGTCATGAACATATAATAAGATGAACATATATGTTTATAATATGTTCATTATATGATCGTGGTATTGGGGCATACATGTTATCATTGCAAAACATGGTAGGTATTGCCTATATAGATATTAAATTTTTCTTCAAAACGTGGTATTGCCAGTATTAAATATTTCTTCAAAACATAGTATTGCCGGCAATAATGCGTTTTGCATCAACAAAAATAGGAACAACTTCAAAACGTGCTGTTACCATTACCTTTCCAAAACCTGCAATACCACGTTTTACCCTGTAGCTTGTAAACACTTTTAGATTCTGAGTGAAACGATGAATCTGAATGTATAGATTTTACGATATTAGGAAAAAAAGTCCGAGGAAAAAAAGTCCGAATAAACGGAAAAAAAGTCCCAGAAAAAATTAATTAAAAATAATATTATTTATTAAATTAGTATACATAATTATTAATTATGCATTAATTATCATCATAATTTTAAAAATACTTATATATTAAATTATTATATTAAAAAATTGAAATAATTGTATAAATGTAATTACATTGTTTGAGAAAAATTAACAAAAACATATTTTATTATTTATCATTATTTTAAATTTTTACGGTGTTTTCTTTTGGCATGGATTTCAGAGCTTCTTTTGGCAAATTATTGACTACTTCCGCAAAAACTTGAGAAGGTGTATTTGTATACATTATAAATCGGTTTTTCATTTCTTCTTTTGCTTTTTCGACGATTCCGATGTGTAGATCACCAGCATGTGAATGTTTTACATCTAAGCTTGGATTCTTTAAATCTGCATATTATATAAATATATTTTTTACATATATAAATTAATGACAAAACGTAAATATATTATAAATATACATGTATATGTATTTACCTCTGTTGGTAATTAATACACCAGGACATTTTTTCAAAGACTTCTGGGAACATTTCCATCTTATACTTTTTTTAGTTTATGCTGGATTGTATATGTAAATCCACCACAAACAATTTTTTTTCCATTTTTTATTAATTTTACACTATCCATTATGATGATTATTATAAAATTATGTACTACACTATTACTGTTAACACTGCTATGACCTAAATAATCATCTCTGAAGGCAACATTAAAATTCACAACAGTGAACAAGCCAACACGGCGCCCGCCTTTTTCCACCATAATTTTTGAAATTTAAACCCATGGAGACTATTCTTGTCTTCATGCTTATTCCTATCGAGTGTGTTTTGCTATTAGAACTCAGTGCAGTACCTACGACCTACCTACCTATCGTCCACCGACAATTGAATATTAATCGTTTACGAATAATTGAATAATTATTATTTTAGTACCTAATGTTGGAATTTGGGTGAAACTCGTCTTATTATCACAACGAAAACTACAACTGTGACGACATTAGGTTCAGTCGCGACTTAAGACAGACCGACTATCTAGTCTATCTTAAATCGTGAATTCAGCACCAAACGACTTTCCACAGCCAATCGGTTTCAGTTATAGTTTAATATTATTATTATAGAATTATTATTATGTTGATGGCGACGGGGCACGGGCCGATATCACACGTATCGCTGTCGTGATACGACGTATGAAAATTGAAAATCGGAAAATGTATCCCCTTTTCATGATAACATATTTTATGATAGGGGAAGATAACGGCGCCGCTCGTATCAGCCATTCAGCCACGCACACCTACGCACAATATTTTTTTCAATAACATACTTCGCGTACATCAAATTTTAAAGTCCGAACGTCGGCCACCTGAATGAAAATGGTAACAGGTCTTTAGCACAATACAGTCGATTATGACGTTAACAATGTGTCACTATTAGTGATTACTGTGCGATGTGATCGAGCGGGTGCGAAACAATACACTGTAGTACGTCTTCTAAATAAGTACCTACGTCAACATATTATTATTCCTGTGTATACATCCGACCAAAGCGTAGTGCACATTGCGAATGTTTGTCACTCAATGATGGACATCGACCCGATTATAGTGTCCACCAGCTTAGAAGCTCTAATTGGTGAGTTAAAATAATTGCATAATGCATAATATTATTATTATATTCTGTTTGGTGTACAAGTCAATTAGATACTGCGAATAAACACACTTGCGGGTTTACAGATAAGACATTTCTACTTTGTGAATTAATAGTAGGTATTATGTAAATTAGTTTTGTATTATATAATATCACTTTAGACACTAACCATAATACACTGACTATGTCCATGTGTGATAAATTAATAACATATTATTATCATGTAAACATGTATGTGCCCCATAACAATGTAATTACTATATGCTTATATCTTATAACAAGGTTACTAACTTTACTTACAACAATTAACGTTCTTGATTGGAAAACATTAGGTACCAACCACTATAGTAGGTACCTACTTATTTTTATGAGATTATATTAATTTTTTTTTGTGTTCCTACCTGTATTATATTTTTGTTGTATCATGTTTCAAACTAACATTTTTTATAAAACAATTCCTGTATTCAGTTTACTAAAAATATATTTAGTTTTAGACAACATTGTCAGTGCTTAAGCATCAAACAAAATATGTTTTGTATTTCATTTCGATGTAGTAACTGAAACATCAATGTTTTTTTGGTATGTGATTCTTTTTATGTGAATTAGTCATATCTATAAACATTTAAATAATTACAAATTTAAAAATTCAAAAATCTATTTTTCCAGTAAAAATGTTGTAAGTACAATATGATAAATGGAATAATATTTTAAAAGCATCACAAGAACTGGTTCAGATATTTTAACTCGCACAAAAAAATAATATATTTGAATCTTTTTTGTTAATAGTTAGTAATGTAGGTATAATAGCGATACTTACTATTTAGCCTTTATGAAGATTGACTAATTCATATTAAAAGAACCACCTGCTTATCTATACCATTATGTATCTATTGCCATTGAAAGTATATTTAATTTGAGTTCTATAATTAAAATATATAATTTATTTACATTTTTCTTTATAAAAGTTCTTATGACATTTGATTATCAATAATTGTTAATTAGTAAAATATATGAATTGTACCTATTATATCTAATATAACATATACCTAATCTAAGTTTTCTGTGTAATAATTTTAACATACTATAAAATAAGCACATAATTCTAGCATGCAAATTTTACTTCTGTAATGCATAAGCTAATAAATAACCAACTGATCACTACTTGGCTTATGCAAATAATATTAAGTGACTATTGTTTTAGAAGTGTCTAGGAAACTATGTTTTTTACAGCATACCAATTGCAAAAATTATTAAATATAAATAGTATTAGTTTCTTTTTAAAGTATTTCATTTTATAAAAGTTTATAATTAGATAAAATAATATATGAGGTTGCGTATAGTATTCCGAAATATTTTTTTATTGTTCCTGTATAAAAGTAGCATATTATATTTCTTTTCAAAACTAAGAAATTTAAAAATCTTTAGACACTTCTATTAATTTGTATTAACATGTTTTAAAATTTATATTTATAAAATTTTATTTTTGTATTAAAATAAACTATTATGACTTTGTTTTTTTTTAGTTTACATTTGTATAAAAGCGCTGTGTAAGAAAATAAGTATCAAATTTGCCCTGGCAAAGGAAATAAACAACTTTAATGAAAAGGGGAAAACAGATGTAGAAATACTAGACAATTTTGAAATGTTTTATTTATGTTCCTAGCAAGATGCTTAATTTATGTATACGTACAATTTACAAACATACATGAAATAAAAACCAAAATATTAGTTCAACCCGTTTGGTGCAGTTGTAAAAATAATCTAAGTAAGAAAGAAGAAAATTATGAATATTACATCTTTAAAATAAATATGACTTGAAATAATATAAAAATTCTTTTCTCTATTTTGACACTAATTTATACTAAAAAAAGTTTTAAAAAAAAAGTAGTATATTATAGACCTACAATCCGAGTTCAGACTAATACCAAAAACTTGAAGAAATAGCAGTTAACATCAAGAAATATATATATACAAATCAAACCAATACCTGGAATAGTTATTATTTGATAGAAACATTGTTCACTAATTATTGTGCTAAATAGTTAAATAATTAAGAATAAAAAAAAAAACTAGTGTAATATGTTAATACCATATTCAACATTAAAAAAAATGTAACAAAACATATTAATGTATATAACGATTAAAATTAAATTAATCAGTTAATTTGTAATTATTTTGTATTGATTTTAGAAAGAGCAACAAAAAATAGCAATGAAAAAATTGACAGTGCTGCAATGATTGCATTTAGTGGATTTGTGCAAAGAGATCCAGAATGTGCACCACTAGCAGCAAAGTGTATTTTAGCTAAAATTCATTCAATGCAGGAATGGGAAGCTTTACAAGCCCTTCATGTATGTTTTACATTTTTAATAATTAAATCAAATCCAAAGTTATTTTATAATGAAATGTATTTTAGTTATTAGACATATGTATGCAGACCGGTAGTGCCAGTTTTCAAGCTGAAGTTGGAAAATTCCGTTTCCTTAATGAACTTATACGTTTAGTATCTCCCAACTGCAATGGAATCCATACACCAGAATTAATAAAAAACAAAATCATTGAACTTCTTGGCCTATGGTCATCACAATTCCCCAAAGAAATTAAGATACAAGATGCCTTGGACATGTTAAAAAAACAAGGTGTAGTAAAGGTAATGTTTTATAATTTAAATGTTCAACAAATTTGTAATATTCAATATTTACTATAGGATTTTTTATTTGAAAATATGCCATCAAGAGCAACTTCTGCTTCTAAATTGGATTCTAATAAAGTATCAATTTTGAATGGAGAAAAATCGTTATTGCTGCAAAAGTTGCTTAAAAGTAAAAAATCAGAAGATCTCAAAGCTGCTAACGAATTAATCAAATCTATGGTTGAAGAGGTTTGTAAGAAAAACTCGCAGATATCTATATTAATATAGACAGCCGACCCGCTTCAAATCAATGACGCCTAGCGGTCATATGCAGATAGAATAATGTTTACAATTATTTCTTATTGTGATAATTTATATAATTTATGTCAGCAAGATAACCAATATTCATTATCAAACATATCAATTATCATATTGGCATTTACATCAGTTTGTAAATATTGCCCTAACTGCATATAGCAACTAGTTTTGAGTGTATAATAACATGCGGAGTCGGCTATCTAATATAATATAGATATCTGTGGAAAAACTATAATTGTAAAGTTGTAGTAGTATATTAATATTATAAATTATAATATAGGAAGAGCAGAAAGCAGAAAGAATTAGTAGTATGTTGGCTGATATTGAAATAACTTCAAATAATGTTAAATTACTATCAGAAATGCTCAAATCATATTGTGATGGTTCTGGTTCTTTAAATGATTTAGAACTTATTAAAGAGTTGTATACTACTGTAAAACAACTGGAACCAAAAGTTCAAACAATGTTATCACTAGAAATACCAGAAAACGAGGATACTGTTAGTAAGTATCTTTATTATGGTTTGGTTATTGTTAATATTTGATAGCAATACAATATCAATAACTTACCTATAAATGGGTGTGTATACTGTATTCAACCATTAGCTTTAAGTAAGTTGTTATGTTTTACTGACTACTAAGTATAATTTATGAATAATAATTTAAAAAGTTTTCCATTGCCTGCCAATCCTGCAACAAGCAAATATTTATTTCAGTTTCTATATTTATAACAATATTTTTCTCATAAAAACTTATATTTCATAATTTATTTATGACATTAATACAGCTACCTACCATCCATTTAATTCTTACCAAATAGTAAATTTGAAATTAGGAAAAATAATATTATCTTTTTAATGTGTTATAACTTTCTAAACAATAAATTGTTGTTTTTCAGGAAAAATAATTAAACTTAATTATGAAGTAAATGAAACTTTAAAAATATACAACGAAGTTTTAGATAATCTTAACAATAAGAAACCAATTAATCAAGAAAATGAAGAATATTTGTTAGACCTTAGTATGTCATCTGTTTCACCAGGTAAAATATATGGGCACAAAATGTATATACAGGGTGATATTTTTATCATTGAACACTCATTATTTCAAAAAGTATTAATGTTTAAGAAAATATTTTTTTACATAGTTTCAAGTTGTTAAAAAACAATATTTTTATTAAAAAATTATATTTTTAAATATTTTTTATCCTTTTAATTTTTTAAGTTTTTTACTTTTTTGAATGACAACATGTAATTTTAATTTGATATTCAAAAACAGAATATTTTTCTGAGTATTTCGATACATAAAAATTGAATTTAGGGCAATTAGTTTATGAGTTATAAGTATTTAAAGTTTAGATGAGCAGAGTAGTGGACAAACATTTCGCGGGGTAACCCCGTACCACTCTACTCCGCTCATCTAAACTTTAAATACTTATAACTCATAAACTAATTGCCCTAAATTCAATTTTTATGTATCGAAATACTCAGAAAAATATTCTGTTTTTGAATATCAAATTAAAATTACATGTTGTCATTCAAAAAAGTAAAAAACTTAAAAAATTAAAAGGATAAAAAATATTTAAAAATATAATTTTTTAATAAAAATATTGTTTTTTAACAACTTGAAACTATGCAAAAAAAATATTTTCTTAAACATTAATACTTTTTGAAATAATGAGTGTTCAATGATAAAAGAATCACCCTGTATATTTATATATTTCCTAATTTTATCATTAATTTAAAATAACTGTTTTTTATTCAAATAATTTGGTTTTGTAAATTATATACATTTTTAAATTTCCAATATTAACTAGGTTTAAAACCAATAATGGAAAGTAAAATTATATTAATGATTGACTTGATGTTCAATTAATAATTATAGGGAAAAAAGACTTTTTAAGTGAATCTAATTGTGGAAGGAATGACTTTTCAAATAATGGATCTGCAAATGTTAAGGAACTAGATGATTTTTTGCAAATGTCGCATCCCATAAAAGGATTTACTCCTCCGCTGCCTGGTAAGTGTATTCTATAATGTATGCATAGTTAATATTTATCTAAAGTTTAAATAAAATGTTAACATCCATTTTTCAGAAGTTGTTGATTCTCAAAAACATGAAAAAATTAAGGACAGTGTGTTAAGTGTAGACCTGTTCGAAGAATTAAATATTCTTGGAAAAGTTATTTTGAATAAACCTAATGAAACTAAAATAGATGAAAAGTAACTTACTATTCTATAATTGTAAACATATACATAACATATATATTAACATAAATCATAAATGTTTATTATTTTACAGACCATTTAATTTAACAGACGCAGAATTGAGTTCAGATAATATTAAAAAAAGTAGTCTATCAGATGAACCGTTGATAGGTACACATGATTCAATATTATTTGAACCAAAAAACTATAGTCTTCAGATAAAGCCTCTTGGTGATATTAATATTAAACTTGAAGACATTATTCCATGTGCGTACAAAGATTTAACTTTTTACATTTTATGATTTTGTATTATTATATATCTATAAAAAATTTAATGTACTAATATTTTTAAGTATTTTTATCAATCTTAATCAAATTATTTTATTTTATTTTAAAATAATTTAAGGTCCTGATTCCATCATTGTGAGCTTATTTGATAAGAATGATATTAGTACAGAACTACATTTAGCTGCAAATAAACCAAGAGAAGATGTTACAGTTTTTGTTGTTACGACAAGAAGCAAATGTAAATTGCCATTATTTAATTTTTCATTCCAACCAGTTGTTCCAAAAGTAAAATATTAACGTATTATATTTATAAGCTATAATAATATAATGTATCATTAAATAATATTATTTTTATTTTTATTAGGACTGTAGGTTACGTATGTTACCTCAATCAAGAGCCAATCTTCCTATTTATAATGCATTTTTACCACAAGAAACCATTGTACAAATCATACTAGTTGCAACTCTAAATAAAGTTAGTTATTTGTATAAGTGTTAATTTTTTTAAATATTAATATTGATTGAATTACTTTATAGGAAATTATACCGTTAAAATATGTGATAAGTTATACAATGGATGGTGAAATGTTTACTGAATTTGGTGAAACTGAGCAGCTCTGCATAAACTAAGGTTATGAATATTATGATCTCGCAAACTTATTTCAAAAAACTATTGAGTACAGATTTTGATTTAATTTATATACAATTTAATTTACATTAAAATCAAACAGTTTTTTTACAAATAATATTAAGTAATATTTAATGTTAAAAAGTTATGAATACCTACTTCAAATAATAATTATTAAGGGATTATAATATAATGTTTTATTTATGATTCATAAACTAGTCATTAAAAAGTATTAAATGGTTGAATTTTTCAATATTTATTTTAAAATTATAGTGAATAAGACATTTGCTATTTAATACTTAACTTTACCAATACAATCTAGTCAGTGAATATACAATATTATAATTGGATATGTAAAATTTAAAAATGCAATTTTATGATCTATTATACTAAACATTATTTTTTTAAATAAATATTAAATGTCATAAATTTTTATTATATTTTTGATTTGTATTATCTTGAATTATTATCAGTGTAAAACAATTGGACTGAGGTTATCTTATTTTTATTTTTAAAATACCTAAAAATAATTTTAATATTTTAGTGGTACAGGTTTTGACCCGTAAAAAAAATATTTAGTCTTTATCACCAATAAATAACAATACAGAATACGGATTACTAAATTTTTATAAAAAGATTAAGGTATACGTAAGTATTTGTACTTACTATTTTTCAGGTCAGGGTTTTTTTTAATGATTTTTTCAAACTGTACAAACTTGTTCCCACTCTTGGATTATAGTAGGGAATTTGTCTACGTATCATAAGGTAATTTCTTTTTAATTTTTTTGTTTAACTTTTACATAAAATAATAGTAATATAATAATGAATAATACTAACAATTTTTAATTTCGATGGAAAAAATTTTTTTTTTTTGATTTTTGCGCAATTATTGTTTTATAATATAATTCTGAAAATCTTTTTTTTCACTGCACATAGTAACAATTTTTACTGCTCAAAATGTGTCTCACTGCACACTAAAAAAAACCCTGTTTCTGGGTATACACAAATATGCTAATTCACCACAAAGTAAGTGCGTAAACCCCCCAATTTGGCTCCAAAATTATTTATTATATATTATTTATGTATGTTACTCGACATAATATTATAAATTCAATTACGAAAAACAACTAAATTATGTATGCATATGTAATATGTATGTATGTATTAATTGATGTAGATATATTTAATTTTTCTATAATTTGGTAGTAATAAAAAGTCTCAGCCCTCGCTTTTCGAACAGTTAAACGACAAATAATATTTTGAAAGAGGGGGGCAGTGACACTGAACACCTTAAGAGTTAAAACTGCAGGTGACACTGTATTAACATTTTTCTTTTTTGATTTAATGTTTCTTCTACATGACGTGTAATGAAATAAAAACAAAATGTACACCCTTAGTAATTAATTATAACAATATATTATGATACCATATGGGTGACTTAATCGAATACGACATTTAAGATGATAATACTATTAATAGGTATTATTTAGTCCGTTGAGTCGAATAATAGTTGCGTCAATATATCTGTGAATGATGTAATAGCGAAGAAATCATCAACGGTTTAATCATGTATATTATTACAAACAAATGATCTTGTACGCGCGTCTTTTGGACTAACGGAGCACACTATTGAATTTCAGCAGTTGTTCTGTCATTTGTACCGATAAGTCCTATCGGATTTAATTCATATAGTAGTATTATAATATATAATATTATCGTCCAAGACGATTGCAACGAATATTGAGATCAATTTAATAGGCAATTCTCCCGTCGTCGCAGGGTACATTTCCATTATTTTAGACATGACGACATAATCACAGTCAATCAGAGATTCGCAGATTAAAATATATTTCAATTATGAATAAAACGAAATCTAATAAACTGGCAGAGAATCGGCCATCTTGCAATCTTGCACATGACGGACATCTAGTGAAAAATCGAACACCAGCTGCAGACTGACCGTTCTTAGTGTGGAGATATATCAACTTGAGGTGAAATATTATAATACATATAATTATATGGAGTCCTGATCAAACGAAGAAGAAAGAAAAGAGCACAACTTAACCTCCATATTAAATAATTGGCCTCGGTTTCCAACCAGAAAATGTCATCTTATTTCTTGTAGGAGAACCGAACAACAGAAATATATTAATTTTATTATAAATAGTTAGTATTGTGTTATTATACTGTTTTTCAGTTCTAAAACACAGTTTATTGAAAATACATTTAATATATTTTATTCTTCGTTGAATATCCATATAAGATATTATAAAAAAAGCTTATCAACTCTGAGGCAGTCGAAGCTTCAAGGCGGGTTTCCACTATACACGGGGGTCGGGGGTGTGTACTTGCATGAAATCCTTTGCTGTGATTGCTTGACATCCACGGTAAGCTTTTGCTATTTGGTATATCACAGTGTTTTCTTATACCGTAACATAAGGTACCACTCTAATTAACCCGTATTAGATAGGGACATACTTGACTTTATTACCATTAAAAAATTATAATTCAAAAACTAAAAATCGTATTTAAATTATAATTACACCATCGTATTCAGCGCCAATTTATCTTTAAGAATAAATTACAAAAATAATATTAATGTTCTATATTTACGTAATAAATGTACATATAAACAGTAAAAATAGGTAAACTGTTTTGGAATAGAGTATATCATAATAATACAATACAATTATAAACACTATTCATCTGCGCTGTCGGTCGCCCCACAGCAGAACGTACGCCTGACGAACCGCTTCGTCCTTTTCCAAAGTGAACGCCTAGACGCGACCGTGGTTACCGCCAGGTGGTCCGTCCCCGCGTCACTACGGCCACTGCTGGTTGCCGTATCCGTTTCTCCGGCTTCTACAGGTGGCAACGGCGACGAGACGGACAACGGCGACGAGACGGACAACGGCGACGTGACAGACAACGGCGACGATACGGACAACGGCGACGTGACGGACAACGGCGACGTGACGGACAACGGCGACGAAACGGACAACGGCGACGTGACGGACAACGGCGACGAGACGGACAACGGCGACGTGACGGACAACGGCGTCTCGATCCTGCGGTCGTTTTCTACAGCGGCAGGTGGCATCAATGTCGCAGGGACAGACGATCCGTCACGTGATAGCGGTTCCATCGAAACGGGCAACTCCGCGGACGACAATACAATTTCTGGAACATCGCCAGAGGAATTTTCACGCACATCCATTCCCTTCAGCTGCTCCGGGAACATCAAGTTGGGTGCGGATTTCCAAACGTACTTCGTAGGTGCTCCGGCCGTGGGATTTGTACTCAAGTCCATATTTGGTAGAGAAATAAATCTCTTGTGAAGCTGCATTCTACTGAAATCGCAGCTGTCTAGCGATCTTGGTCTATTCGACCTAAGTTCGTTGAAAATCATCTGCATTTTTTCAGTCTCGGATACCGATTTGCTGTCTGACGACGTCTGCTCTTGAGCGGCAATATTAATCGACATATTGATATATTATTTTGATTATGTAAGCAGAATAATTATTAATATATTTTACAAAAGTTCGATTTTAACTACGGATTAGCAATTATTCGTGATTTATTATAATATATAAATACGAATTATTGATTTTCCAAACACTTATACACTTGGCAACAAGATGTCTGTTATTTTTATAAATCTGAATGTATATTAATTTTTTAACATATGTTATAGGTACAACATTTATTTATTAAATTCTTATTTTTTAGTTATACCACTCAAGTATAAACCTTAAAGTTATTTTATTATTTAGGGGGGGGGGGAGTTGGAATGGAATTTGTTGAGAATGGATTTCCGGCTATGCTACCTGCATTTTCGAGTAGGTAGGTATTTTCGCGGGCTCGAGTCGTCGGGATTGGCTTGTGGACAATTTTGTAAACGTGTTTTCCCCCGAAGGCCGGTGGTGGTTTGTACGGGAATAGAGGACTCTGATCGAAGCTCGGATTAATATCTCTAGGTGAGGTGGGTTGGTGGGTAAGACCAGGTAACCGAACTTGGTTGTAAGCCATCAAAGAATACAGTCCTGCGATACTTTTTGCGTTTGAAAATTATAGCATTGGCCACGCATAGCTTTAAAAACACTTACTATAGCTAAGAAAAAAAAATGTCATAATTTATATCGCCATTGGTTAGTTTTATACATATATTATCAATGATATTATTCTCACATAATTTAAAGGCTCTGTCAAAAAGAACGTACAACGCAAGTTAAAGCACGTATTAAAGCAATGACTCGTCGGCGTAGCGCTTTCACGCACGTGAATAACGCCGCGTTGTAACAAATTACAAAATCACGCTACGTGAAAAACAAATAAAATTTTAAACTTGTACCTAGTTATAAAAATTGTCGTACTACTCATACTTGGCCATGACTCATCAGTGATGACTGATGAGTATAAAATAAAATGTGTATATATATCTAGGCGATCTAGCTTAAAGTTATATTTTGCGTTTTTTTAATAATATATTATATAACTGAAGCATACTAAGTAACTTAATGTCGAGCTTAATGTTATGTACCTATTAGATAATTTGTAAATGTGCTTTAGAGAAACGATTATTAATTAAAGCACACATACTAAAAGTGTGAACATAAAACATTTTTTGTCCAAAGGGCCGATACTTTGTTGAGGGCCGGTAGAAATTTAAAATCTCTGTGGGCCGAAAAGTCTCTATCCAGCGCTGTTAACAGCTAAATACTCTTACAGTAAAATTGTTTTCATTTCTAATTATACTGTACCTACAACTTCGCCGTATAAGACGTAGTGTGCAAAAATCAAATGTAAAAATCAAAATATTTTTAGAATTTCCTATACGAACTTGATAAATGATAGGTTGATAGGTACTATAATAATGAAATATATTGATTAAATTGAATTGTTATATTTTGGGAAGGCCAAATAGGGTTGTCACCCTTGTCAATCCTTCATGTACTTACTGTGGTAGTCTAAATAATACTGTTAAAGGGTTTTTTTTTGTTATTTTAATTAGGTAGGTACACATCTTTTAATTTATTAATGTCCTTTAAAAAAAAAACATTACAGGGGTAAAACTGGTATTGCATACAATTTATGAAACTTGAATAAATAAAAATAGAGAATTAAAAACAAAAATTTGATATTGTAAATCAAAAATTTAAAGGCATATAGTGATGAATGATACTTGAAAGTTAATCGATTGAAAACGAAATGCAAAAATCTCTAATAAAAAATCAATTCACGGGTTAACATAATAAATGTGGAAACAAAATCCCAAATATTCGATATATATATTTATTTTTTTAATCCAGATATTATGGCATTGTCTTTCTGAGTGCTAGACCACAGAAAAAAATCTATTCTTATCAAATTATAACGATGTACGATTAATTCGAATAGATTATAATATTATAGTACTAATTATGCTATACTCTATTCCCTGTAAGCAGAGTCAGACTGGCCCGGACCGCTAGTCCGCAATTGTGAACGGGGCCCCGGCTTAGTTATGGTAATTGGAGGTCTCTGATTTTGTACCTATTAATATTATTATTATTCGTTTAGAGTTAATCAAAATACGAAATAAACATTTTTTTTTTTCAAATCAGAAAACGTATTTTTGTTTACAATCGTGAGAAGTTCTCAATAATTATTAAAATAATGACATCATCATTATCATTCTACGAATTTAATATCTGTCTATATCAAGATTTAAGATAGTAGGTAATAGGTATCTACTAAATCGTGGTCTATATACATATATGCATCATTTATACAAAATTGTAAAATGTTGTGTAAAATTGTTGTGACTACTAAGCACGGACTACTACTACTGATATTATTATATTAGTGTGCTTATTCGCTTGACTGGTCAAGGACAAAGATACGTATTCACCAGTAATGTTTATTTGTTAGTTAAATTAAATCAGCAACAAAATGATTGTATTCACACGTTGCACACGTTCCTGTAATTTGGAGTATAATTAATGTGGTCATATACGCTGACTATTTTTCTTTATTCATTGGTTCTGCGTTGGTAATTGACAATATTATAATGTGACACGTCACCTGGGTCATGCGTTGTTATAGGTCAGTATGCAATTTTATGGAAATTAAAGGCTTTAAAATTGAATTAATATCGATACAATAGAGCAGCTTTACAATTGTATATATTATACAGAATGTTTATGAATTATGAAATGGATGAGGTAACTAGTATATGCGTACTCGGTGTGATGGCCCAACGAAGATTTTTTTTAATTTTTTTCTCTATCTTCAAAATCTGGGTTTATACAAATTATTTTTAGAACATTATCTTAAATGTAAAAATAAATGGTCGATGTATTTTTTGCAAAATTCTCATACGAATCGAGGTGTTACATCATAAATATTTAATCAATGATATTATTATTTATAGATCAACGGGCAGACCGCTTTCTGTTTGACTGGGCCTTTAGGAGCATTTTAGAGACGGCTGGTTAATGGTTATAACCCTGTTTGTACCGCTTCTAGTTTATATTATCCAGTAATAAATTAAAATATATTATAATACAAATATTGTTTAGGTTACAAGAACACAATATAATAACAAGGACTGTTAATCCAGTGGCGTAGCCAGGGGGGCTAAGGGGGCTATAGCCCCCCATTGATTGTGTTGACCTTAGAATTTTATTAAGATTAATAAAAAAATTAAAAGTGTAAATATTTCAACATATAGGTAGTCTCTTATTTTTTAGAAAATTGGATCAAGATGGTACTTATATTAAACATTTAAACAGGTTATTTTTCGATTTTCTCAATAGTTATTTAATGCCAAGAGAAAAACCACCGATAAATTACAGGTTAAAACCGCTAAAAATGGAATTTTAATTTCTAAAGCTTTGTTTATCACCATAAAAACAAATGAAAATAAAAATAACGATTTTATTTATTTTGTTGTAATTTGTAATATTAATTCAACATACAGGTCTATAATAAAATATAAAATATCCAGACTGACAAACCGTCTCCGCTCAGAATCGTTTTTCATATACAATGATAATATGATATCATTGAATTCAAATTTAATACAATCCATTATACAATGACCCACTTGTAACCTACTGTACGTCTGTACAGCAGAGTGACATCCACTTACCCGCTTTTTTTGTATTTTTTTGTGATACTTAGCCCTCCCCTGTCCCCATACAAAATTCCTGGCTACGCCACTGACTGTTACTAGTCGCGTTGATGCATTTTACCTATTATGTTTTGATAATCTGATCCTAAAATATAAACTTTGAAGTACCTACCCATTTCCCCCCCCCATGGCTTTTTCAAAATAGTTGTTATAAATTGCATGTTTTAAGCTGGACAGCCAAATATAAAAGTATAAGAATATTTAAAGAAAATATTAACATAATATTAGAAGCGTTGCAAAAACTATCGGAAAGTGACGTAAACCGTTTACAAAAAATTGTGATTTTCAATTGTATAATTCACGTAATAATTCAACATTTTTGGTTTGTTTATTATGGCTGAATATTCTTCTATGTTTGAACCAGTGACCAGATCTTGACCAGATCTAGAGTCTGCAGAGTGCAGATGCTACTTTTAATGTTCTTTGGGGTAAAATGGAAAGTATGTTCAATACTATTGCCAATTTAGATTTCAATTAGGAAAACACGAGGGAAGTAATCTCAAATTATTATATACTATTATACATTTTACTACATTTATGGCCTCACTTAAAACTATGACAAAATATTACCAAAACATGAAACTGAAACCTAACCCGACGAAAACTCAAATATGTGCGTTCCATCTGAAGAACAAACTAGCGTCTAGAAAGCTGGACATCACCTGGGAAGGAGTTAAGTTAGAACACACAACCCATCCTAAATATTTAGGCGTTACCCTTGATAGATCACTCAATTTTAAAGAACACTGTGTTGCCTTGAAACGGAAAATATGCACTAGAAACACTCTATTGCGAAAATTGGTTAGCTCAAAGTGGGGAGCTCAACCCGAAACAGTTAGAATCTCGGCACTAGCTCTATGTTTCTCGGTGGCTGAATATGCATGCCCGGTGTGGGGAAGATCAACACACACTAAACAAATTGATACTGCTTTAAATGAAACGGTTCGCATTATAACAGGATGCTTAAAGCCAACACCAGTAGACAAATTATACCTTCTAGCAGGAATAGCTCCGCCACATATACGTAGACAAATTGCAAGTGACATAGAACGGACGAAACAGATCACGGATGAAAGGCACCCGATGTATAACACACAAGTGGAAGGATTCCGACTAAAATCAAGAAAGAGCTTTCTAAAATGTACTAAGAAATTAGAAGATGACCCACAGACATCAAGATTAAAGTTATGGGAGGTAGAGAGCAAGCAAAAAGTTGAAGAGAAGTTACCCCCGGGACATAACAATAAATGGATGGTCTGGAGAACACTAAATCACCTACGTACAGGAGTCGGTCGTTCGAGGGAGAACCTAAAAAAATGGGGAATAAGCAACGAGAATGAAGACATGAGCTGTATATGCAGAGAAGTCCAGACAATGTCGCACCTCCTAAACTGCAATGAATGTCCAATCAAATGTAACGTAACAGACTTACAAGACGCAAATAGCAAGGCTATAAAGTTGGCAGAATTTTGGAGCGATAAAATTTAAAAATTTGAAAAAACAACTCATACGTTACCTTTTAGAACCACCCATTGTTACCATTATTTACTAAGTACATTATTCCATATTATGTTATTTTATTTTATTTTATGTATACCAGTTGATTTTTTGACTAATTGACTAATTGATATTATGTTTTGTTATTTATAGTTTAAATGTAAGGATGTTTACCTATATATTTAATTACCTGTAAAATGACCTGTCATAACCCCGACTCGTAAAAAAAAAAAAAAAAACTACATTTATAACGAATTCTATTAATTTAATTTTTGACATTTCTGACATAGCAGATAAAAGGTACAAACACTATTTTCGAATATTGAAATTATCTGAAATCACATCAGCAGACACACACGGGAGAAATGCCTTATCCGTGTGACATAATATGCGAGAATTCGTTCAGTCGAAAAGGCAAGAAATCGGCACGCACTTATAACGGTAAAACGTGGGGTGTGTGACTATCTAAGGGTAAAAAAGAAGAATAATCTAGTTTCCAGGCTCACGATTACCTATTGATAAATCCACCTACCACTATTTGGTCATCATATGTCTGTGCCGTTCCTTAAAACAGTGCATGAGCACCAGCCATACCTAAGTAACAACCTCCCAATACCGAATCCTACTAGCGACAACATGCAAAACTCCTTGTGTCACTATAAGTTCATTATTTCGATTTGAGTATTTTAAGTATACTTCGTGTCACCTAATACTGCTACTGCATAACCCACAGATAACTGCGAGTCAGGCAAGGCATTTAATATAACATTTTATATTGATTACAGATACATAGGTATTACATATATGTGTATTTTACATAAAACTATATTGTGTATACACGATCTCGAGAGCCCTCCGAACACCTTGATAGGAAAGTAATAGCGTGATTCTAGTACTTGAATCTGGTACATAAGTATATTATTCTCCAGCACTTATAAATGTAGAGCAGTGGTTCTTAACCTTTTTTGAGTGACAGAACACTCAATATTTTATAAAATGTTTGCGGAACTCAGCCGTAAAATCTAACAGTATTTAGGCACTTTTTCAAATTGTATGATGTATTAAACAATGCATGTATTCAAAACCGTTAACATGCATATTAATCACTAAAAAATAATAAAATCAATAAAAAAATTCACAATTTTATAATTTTCCTCCGATTTTTAAATTTTGGCGAAACACTTATCCTAAGTGGCTAAGGCCACCGAACACTTGTGTTCCACGGAACATCGGTTAAGAACTACTGGTGTAGAGAATCATACTGACACCTACCTAGCATCCGATTTTATTATTTTAATATAACTATCGACAGTGGAGCCGAACGCATATTTTTATGGGTCGGTTCGCCCCAGTGTTTGCTTTGTGGTAGTTGAATTTACACTATAATCATGTGGGTGGTGGCCGGTGGGTGGTGGTATATAATTTTTATACTTTGCCCCACCAAGTGAAAAACAAGTCGGCGCCGCTGACTATCGACATGAGTTAGTTTTTATATTCTTTGTATTTTTGCGTCATTACAGATTTATGCATGTAGGGTGCTGCAATAGTTCAATAATATGTATCCTATGGTATTTTATGTCATTCTTTTTTGTACTATTTATGTTGTTGTTGCAATAAAGTTCATTATTATTATTATTATTACTATTAAAAAGAGAATCTAACTATAAAACCTCAGCATAACTACCACCAGCAGACACATTAATTGGTTGACGGAATATCACTTCAGGCGTGAAACATAGCACGCTAAGTAATGTGTTGGCAGATATTTTAAGTCGAGGAAAAATAATTAAAATAATTGAAAAGATTGGTTTAATTCGCTTTAAACACTGTATACCCATATAAATACCAAACTTAAAAAAAGTTAAAGCTTATTTGGATACAATCATTATTAAAACAGTATTAGAAGTATTACAATATAAGTAAACTAATTTTATTCGATTAAACAGTGTATAGGTTCTCTAGTAGGCAGTATTGGTGGTACTAATATGTTATTACATATTATAATATAATTTTTTATGTACTAACATAGATTAAACATAGGTACATAGATAGGCAACGGCTGGGTAGAATTTGGAAATCATGTTCTTGGTGACAATACATGGCTAGGGTTGAGTCGGATTCTAGGTTAGAATGCTATGATGTTATGTAGAAAACGTCGAGCAGCGCCATCTTATTGTCACCAACAAAATGGCTTCCAAATTCTACGCAACCGTTGGCTATCTAATATCTATGTATTTTTAATCCAAGCAGGACGTGTATTAATGCACATTGACATGGAAAAAAGATTAAAACATTTGTCATTGTTCAATTGTTGCATCAGGGGAAACCCTTTTTATGACAATTACTAAAAAATCGTTTTTTTAATGAGATGTTTCAATTCTTATACTGTTTGTTACGATATGCTTACATCGACGCATTGTAGTCAAACTATCAAAGGTACTGAGTTACTCTTCTTGAAAGTATTTTTAACTCACTACGGCGGCCGGACGACATAATATTATTATAATAATTACTATAATATAGCTAAAATATTATTTTATTTCGATCGAAGATTCGAAACCGCCGCGCAAACACGAAGCCCCGTCCATTCCATCGTAGAAAAACCGACAGCAGTAACCGTGACCAAGGTTCGGGTGTAGTGGCGCGACGCGGCGTCATTACCACAATACCGTCGCTAACATCAACCGGTCGCACGAGTGGCCCTGGCATGTCTGTTCCGCCGACCGCCGTACCGCAACAGAATCCACAACTCCAGCAGGCGTCCCGAACACGTTGTTTCGGCGCATCATTTCACACTCCGTTTTTTGTTCGTCGGTCACCCACACGACGTTCATAATAACTGTTTTGTAATCGTTTCAAAGATGTCCCGGCAACACGATTAGTGTGTACGTCGCAGACGAGCAGCCGACGGACGGAAGAGTCCGCCCGAAATCCATCCACCCGAATTCACTCCGCACGCCAAGACAATGGTGAGTTGAACCACACTTGAACAGACATTATTATTTTATTACGATTTGCTTACGTTTTCGCCCCGCGATAAACGCGCACGATCATTCGGTGATTATGCACCTCATCGTCGGCCCGTGAGACACGTTTTTCGACTCTCATCCCGTTGACCGCCGAGACCGAGTTCGGAGACCCGGCGCGTGCTCTCGGCGCACTTTTCTCAAACTCCTAGTGAGTTTCTCGTTTTCCGGAATTTTCTCCGTGTCGGAAAACCCACCGAGCTCGCGTGTCATTGCAATTGCGCGCGTGTGTGTGTGTGTGAATGTGCGCGCGTGTGTGAGTGTGTGTGTGTGTGCACGCGCGCGTTGCTAGGCTGACGGTCAAATCTTGGCCGGATACGTTTTAAAATATTTCTCCGTTTACGACTGTTGCATAATCACCGTCCCCGTCACACCAGTTGTCGTTTCACGTAGATGGACGATAAAACGTCCGTCACACCACGCACAATATAATACATTTAGATTTATATATACATATACTTACATATACGTAGTTAAGTCCGTGGCCTGTGCCGAACTAATACTATTTGTTTTGTTACGCAATCTTGTCCTGCCGTTCCCTTCCATCTCCAGTCAAATTGATAATGGCGGACGATTTTGACATCGAAGCGTTGCTCGAAGCTCCCTATAACAAAAAAGAGCCGGAAGCGCAGCCAAAAGAGAGTAACGGCACTGAGGAAAAATCACGTAAAGACAAGTCCCGTAAAAGTCGCCATCGTACTAGATCTCGGTCGCGCGACAAGGCTCGCAAACACAGTCGGTCCAAAGATGACCGCAAGCACCGACGAAAAAGTCGTTCTAAGGACCGACATCGTAGTCGCTCCAGAGACCGACATGCGCGCCGACGCACTTCTAAAGACAAACGAAGTCGTACACGGTCTCCTGTCAAACTACCAAAATATGGACCACCTTTACCTCCTCCGCGCTACGGTAGAAAACCATCACCTCTGGCGTCCAAAGTGCCACCAGCTAGTATGTTAACTCCCGAGGAAAGAGATGCTAGGACAGTGTTTTGTATGCAACTTTCAAAGACAATTCGAGCTAGAGATTTAGAAGAATTTTTTTCATCTGTTGGCAAAGTCAGGGATGTTAGAATGATCACTTGTAATAAAACTCGTCGGTTTAAGGGTATTGCTTACATAGAATTTAAAGATCCCGAGTCTGTTCCACTTGCTATGGGTCTAAACGGTCAAAAGCTTTTAGGCGTTCCTATTGTTGTTCAACCCACTCAGGCCGAAAAAAACCGTATGGCTAATTCAATGCCAAATATGGTACAACGTACACATTATGGACCAATGAAATTGTATGTCGGTTCATTACACTACAACATCACTGAAGAAATGTTACGAGGAATATTTGAACCTTTTGGACACGTTGATAACATACAGTTAATGATGGACACTGAAACAGGCCGATCCAAAGGCTATGGATTTTTAACATATCGTAATGCAGAAGATGCTAAAAAAGCCCTTGAACATTTGAATGGATTTGAAATAGCTGGTCGGCCCATGAAGGTAGGTCATGTAACTGAAAACCATTCTGTGTATGACAAAACTGCTTTTGAAGTTGACGAGTTAGACAGAGCTGGTTATGATTTGGGAGCTACTGGTAGATTGCAACTGATGTACAAACTAGCAGAAGGTACTGGATTCCCAATTCCGCAGGCTGCAGCCAATGCACTTCAAGTTGCATCTGGGGTGCAGGCAGCTCCAGCTGCACCAACTGTTCAGGTGACTCCTCCAATCGCAACCCAATGCTTTTTATTAGCCAACATGTTTGATCCAAACAAAGAAGACGGAGATAGTAATACTACTTGGGAAACTGAGATTAGGGATGATGTGATTAAGGAATGCAACAAACATGGCGGTGTTTTGCATGTGTATGTGGATAAAGCATCTCCACAGGGCAATGTGTACGTCAAATGTACAACAATTGAAACTGCGCTTGCATCTGTAGCAGCTTTACATGGTCGATGGTTTGGTGGACGTGTAATTACTGCAGCATATGTGCCTGTAACAAACTATCACAATTTGTTTCCCGAAGCTTCTTCACTGACAAAACTGTTGGTATCATCCAGAAGTAAAAATTAATGAGTTACATGTATACAATTTATTGATTTTATTTTTTTAAACTTACAATTGACAAATAATGATAAAATGTTTACATTATTCTATTTAGGTAGAGTAAAAATTATACCTACCTAATAGTATTTTTTAGTTAACCTTTTTTGTTAGGTAATTAATTAATATGTTTAATATGGTTATATTATAAAAATTGTGATCGAATAAATTTGTAGAAGTTAAATCAATTTCTTCTATTTCGCTTTTACGTAAATCATTTTTCCATGTGAACTGATGTGAATAGTTTTAGGACATAATTATATGTTTGGAGTAATTTTTTGAAATATAAATAAGTAGTTAGGCTACTGTTTGAATTTTTATTTTATTTTTTTTTTCATCTGTTGGCCTCCATCAGAATACAATATTCCTTTCTATTGCTGGCATTATTAACTATGTTTAAAAAAAAATGTGTACTAATAAATATCAAATGGTCATTTATTTGTTTTGAATGTATTATTGTACAACTTTAAAAACAGTTGTTATAATGTTTTCTATTCGTCCTGGTTTACCATTTACCCTTTCTGATTCATTGAAACATCCATGAATCTTATGTTTATATTTTTAATAAACCATTAAAAAGAAGGCTACTTACCATCATGAAATAAAATGTGACAGGTTCTTAATAATTGTACAACCACATATTATATCTTTTATCATACTATTGTTTATGTGGATAATATGCTTAAAATTTATAAAATTTAAACCAAATTATTTATCTATTATATTAGGTATCAACAAATATTATCCAGTAGGTACAATAATAATGAACAATATTTTTGACTTGCTAGTTAAAAAATAAAATTTAATAATTTAACACTTGTAAATATATTTATTTTATTGTATACTTGATAGTTAAACATAACATTAGCTTATCTATACCTTACATATTTTAGTATTAGTAGAACAATAATTAAATGCCTGTATTCAATTTTTGAATATATCTAAAACAATATAATAATTACTATTTGCTAAATTGATTTGCGATGGTTACCAATAAGTTATCCACAACTGCTCGCAAGTTGTATTAGTTAATATTATTTTTTGTAAACAGAAACATGTACTAATAATTATTTTAATAATTTATCATTGCTTTTTTTAATAGCTGACTAGCTTTATATCTTATTTTATTCCAATTTTTTTTTTTTTAATTTTCCAACAAAATATTTATTTAATGTGTAACAACAAAGGTCACATTTTTTCCTCGTTATTTTATTACACTGTATGTTATTTAGTTGAAAAGCCATTCAATGTTGGCATAAATGTATCTATACTTTTTAATTCTGTTTTTAAAATTAAATAGACAGATCTGTGTCCATTTAATCCGACGCACAGGCATAATCTAAAATTTAGCATTTAACATGATTTATAACATACATTTTATCTTGTATAAATTTACTTTTTAATTAAATACATCATAGGTAAATTATATTAATATATGTTTGGCGGTTAGTAAAAACTGAAAAGTTAGAAATCAATCACCTCTATTTTAATTTTTAGATTTTAATACTCTTATTATTTATTTCAAACAATGTGAATGGGATATTATACTTGAACAGTTCAATTTAGAATAAAAAATTGTTAAATAAATCAAAATAAACTTAAATATTTTCTTATATAAAATTATTTTTGAAGTACCTATATATTATATAATATACTACTAACTTTTTTATTAATAGTACCTATCTACTTACCAATTAGATATTAAACCACCTGTATTCCATCTTATTGAATTTGTATATTTAATAATAACCAACCTAAGTATAAGTTAATTTTTCTGTTTATGAAATAAATAATACGAATGTTATTAATATCAATATTTTCTTACTGGTTTACATTAATGTGTAGTGTTCTTTAGTAAAAAAAAAAAAAAAAAAAAAAAATAGCTATTAATGTATGTTTTATATTTTGTTATATATTAAGTGTACTTTAAAAAATGTATTTATTTAAAAAAATATAAAGATTTATTGAATAAAATATCAGACAGTCGTTGAAATTTATATTACTTAAAATTTTTGTTGAATTATCTGCATACCTATTTGTTTTAACTAATTTATTATATTTATAATAGAATGGTTATATTATATTACCTGAACTGTATTTTTTAAAAGTTCGAAATATTTATCAAATTATAATATTAAATTTGACAGAAACTTACTGATTAAAATAAATTCAATTTTATGGATGTATTTTGAGCGCCTAATTGTTCGGCTTAAGCTTAAATACTAGATTTAGTAGAATTTTACGTTCTAAATATCTTCATTTCCGCAGGCGAAACTAACAGTCCTTTACGAGCATGCCACCGGCTTCACACTGTTTAAAGTAAAAGAATTTGAAGAAATAGGTTCAGAATTATCAGAAGTTGAAAAATCTGTTCGCGACTTGCAGCGTTTCACCAAAATCATTGAGCTTTTGGCATTTGCTCCTTTCAAAACGTCAGTTGACGCATTGGAATCCATCAACAGCATCTCTGAAGGTACTAAAATCTGACGTCCGTCTGCCGTGTCCTGGTTTCATCAAGTTATTTATTATCACATTCATAGGTGTATTGCCGGAGAGTCTGCAAATATTTTTAGAAACCAATGTACCTAAAGTGGGTAAATTGTCAAAAGTCACTTTGGGAGTTGCAGATGGAAAATTGGGTGCGAGCATTAATGAAAAGCTCGGGCTCAAGATACAACATACTGGATTTGTGCTCGAGATATTGAGAGGTCTGTTTTGTTTCATTTTCTTTTTGCTTTGATATAACAATTTAAAAAAACTTTAATTCTATCATCCTTTAAAGCTTTAATTTAATGATTTTCTTAAAAATGTTTAACGGAAAATAATAATTCTTAAAGTTCTATAAAATATAAATATTCATTAAATCATAAAATATGTTTATATGTTTCAGGTAAGTAATATTAATTACTTAATTTATTGATTCTTTAAGTATTTATGAATAATTATTTATTTTTATTAAAATGTTACTAAGTATTTGGTTATGTTATTGATATTATGTAGGTATTAGATACCACTTTCCATCTCTCATGAAGGGATTTGCGCCAAAATTGGAAGGTATTGCTCAATTGGGTTTAGGTCACAGCTATTCTAGAGCTAAAGTAAAGTTCAACGTCAATAAAGTAGATAACATGATCATACACAGTGTTTCATTGCTTGATCAGTTAGACAAAGATCTGAACACTTACTCAATGCGTATCAGGTAATATACATATTTTAATAATAGGTAACGTAATTTTAAAACTTAATTTGTTTTATGCAATAGAGAATGGTACTCCTACCACTTCCCAGAACTTTACAAGATTGTACCTGAGAACTACTTGTACGCTAAAGTAGTGAAGTATGTTGGTGATCGTAAGCAACTTACTGAAGAAAAAATGGAGGGTCTTGAAGAGATCATAATGGATGCAGGGAAAGCAGCAGCAATCTTAAGCGCAGCCAAATCATCGATGGGTAATGATTAAATTAAACAGGATTGATATTCTATGGTTAAAATATTCCATTTTTCAGGTATGGATATTTCTCCGGTTGATCTAACAAATGTATTGATGTTTACCAACCGTGTCGTATCATTATCCGAGTACAGAAAAAGTCTGTCAGAGTATTTGAAAAACAAAATGGGGACTGTTGCACCTAACATGGCCGCTCTAATTGGTGAACAAGTAGGGGCTAGACTTATTTCCAAAGCTGGTTCATTGACAAATTTAGCTAAATGTCCTGCATCTACTGTTCAAATTTTGGGTGCAGAAAAAGCCCTTTTCAGGTAACTATTTTTATACCTATAGCTCATTGTTATTTCATTTTGTTAATTTACTCTTATAGAGCAATGAAGACCAAAACAAGCACTCCTAAATATGGTCTCATATATCATTCAACATTCATTGGCCGTGCCGGTCGGCAGTTCAAAGGACGTGCCTCTCGTTTTCTTTCAAATAAATTGAGCATTGCTAGCCGAATTGATGCCTTTTCTGGTAATATTAAAATTCTTAACTCTATTCTAATTTCTTTAAAAAGGACATAACATAGAAAATTTACGCTCAGGCTCATTAGATCACGTTCGGCTTCTTTAGTTGACAAATTAGAATTGAGTAAATTGGCTTCTTATGAAACTTGATGGTAATAACGAGAGACTTACTAAGATGCAGCTCCAATTAGATACGCTTTCTCGACAATTTATTTACCCATGGACTAATATACAAAAAAAATTAGTGCATAAAAAAGAAATAAATATAATAAAAAGAATATTTTGTGTAAAAAACATTGTAAGAATATATTGCTATATTGGGTTCAAATAATCAAATTTGAATATTTTATAAAAATCTAATAGATACTAAAAAAATTTAATTTTTATTATTTTTTGAATTCATAAAGCTGAATTATTTATATTATTCAGTTAATGAACTATATACAATAATTTTTTGAGTTCATAAGTTGTTACAACAGTTAAATATAGGTACACCCAGTATGTATGGCAGTATATCACCATATTATAGATTAAATATAACTGTTTATTTTTATAAACTGTTCCTTCTATTTGTTTTTTCAGTGTTAAATACATTTTTATAAAAAAGAATATTTTTGCATATAAAAGATTATTTTGATTATAGAGCATAGAAGCATCTTATTTTCAAGATTTTAAGCGCATATAAATCCGGTCTCTATTAATAACATTATCTATGTTTGTATTTTGGTTATTTATGATAATTCAGTTTTTAGGTGAGTTATGAGCATTTTTCACTAAGAGGACGCTACCCATACATTTGTTGCTTTCCGTCTTACACACACACACACACACACACACACACACACACACACACACACACGACATAGCAAATTGTCATTAACTAGTTTCAATAGTATGCTGTTAGTTTTTTGATACTAGAGTGAATTGACCTATTATAACATGTTTAGAAAATGGCTTTTATTCAAAATTTTAATTTTCAAGCAAGATATGAGCATTTTAAATTTTAATA